TGACTGTTCCCTTGGCTGCATCTCACTGCTCCCAAACTCATTCACACATACCATTACAAGGACGCATTCAGATTCCATGGGGAACCTGAAAGCAGAGGTGTTGAAACACAGAAGGCATACTTCTGGGGTCCTAGTAGATGGCACTGTTTAACTAAAGGAATCTGGAGCACGCCAACCTTGCCAAATCAAATCAGCCAGGCAGATCAGCCAGGTAACTAGGCTTTATACCATGTAGGGTATTATAGGTAGTGACCAGCTCCTTGATTCACACCCAGAAGCAAACTGGTAACTGTGCCACTAACAACGCAGGGGTGTTACACAGCTGCCTTCTAGACCAGCTGAAATAGCCGGGTGATCTTTAAGGGAAGCTCTACATAGAGCCTGTTGCACGAGTCAAGAGTGGAAGTCCTTTTGGAAGTCCTACCTGGAAGTCCTTTTAATCTAGGAAAAAGCAACTGGCAAACCAGATGAAGCTGGACAAAGGCATCCTTGGCCATTGCTGCTACCTGCTGACATTCTCAGCCCTGCAATCAAACTAGATGACAATTTAGATGACATTTGAATCTGATTCCCAATCCATTTGCATCAATGACAGATCCAGAGTGTTTCTTAAGGGCCACAACACACCATTTTGTCAAATGTGATTGCATCACGGGCTGGATCATGATGGATTGGGACGTTTTTTTGCCTTTGCGGAGTCAGGGTGGGCGTGGCCTGCGTGTGACGTATCCAGCCTACAGGCCGGCCAGTTTGACAGGCCTGTTCTAGAAGCAATAGCAGTGCTAGCCCTTCATTTGTTTTCTTTTTCAGCCAACCCACCCATTAATCATTTAGTTTTAGGCCATTTTCTCCTCTCACAGAGATAACAGAGATTTCCCTCACCCACCTCAACGAAAGCACTAATTTATCAAATGGTCACATTTTGCTTTTTGTGTGTGTGAGTGGAAGAGAGAAACTTTGTGGATTCTCTTAACGAAAGGCAGGGGATGTGGCTGTGAGGAGTGTGACAGACAAAAGGGACCATATACATATAAAAACAGGTCAATGCTTGTAAGATGCCAGCAAAGTCTTCAGCTCTCAGTTGTCCTTCAGACTGAGACCAGCAATACTTCTTAAATTGTCTTGAGTTGCACTCAATTCTCAGCAGGTGTCTGATTCTCTGCAGGTGTCTCTGTGGAGTTATTACATACTTACTGACCTTTAAGACACTACAATTATATTTTTTAAGCTTTGGTAGAGGTGAATTTTTAAAGAAAAATTGAGAAGCAGAACCTCATGGAAATCAAACTCTTCTAAGAAGGGGTTTGTTTCAAAGGAACTGATGGTGGCCACAGGAACTGAAAAGATGCGAAGTTCAGATACTGCGTGAACCTGGTGGTATGAAATCAGCAGCCCTCCCACAAAGCAAGTTTCTAGAGCAGGGGTGTCAAACTTACGTCGTTGTCACATGATGTATCATGACTTTTCCCCCCATTGCTAAACTGGGCATGGGCGTGTCCAGCACGTGACACATACGGCCTGTGGGCTGCAAGTTTGACAGCCCTGTTCTAGAGAAAGGCTAGAAAACTGCCATGCATTCTTCTGCCTCATCGAACCTCCCTAAGGCTCCCTTCTTATTCCTAAGGGATATTACAATTCAAATCATGAAGCATAGAGGCTGGAAACATTTTGAACATGTAAATCACAAACAGCTTTCACAATGACCCTGGATCTTCTTCGCATTCAGCCAGGGGTGGGATACGACAGGGTTAACTACCAGTCCGGGATTTACGAGCTTCCCTGCACGCTGGGAGCCGCGCGCCTGTAAATCATCATCAGCATGCTGTGTGCAGAGACACAGCCTTTGAAACAGCCCTCTTTTCCTGCTTTTTTAACTGCAGCTGTGCCTCGTTCGGCAGCTGAAGTTGAAAAATCAGGAAATAACGATCAGGTAAGAGCCCAGGTGGGCGGGTGGGCAAAAACATCAGCAGACATAGAACCGGTTCTATGTCTGCTGCTCTTCAGAACTATCGGTTCTACCGAGGTGGACAGAACCGGTAGAAACCCACCTCTGCATTCAACTGAAGCACCTTACAAGAAAAAGGCCATTTTAAACTAGCCTGATAATTCCTTAAATAAAAACCTGAGCACATGTTTACAAGTGAAGGACATAGAATAAAGTACATAAGAAGTTTGAGAAGGTTTTCTTTTGCCAAAAGAGGAGCAAAAAATCTCACCGCTAGTGGCTTTAGACAAAAAGGAGGCTGGCTATCTTGAAAACTCCAGTAAGACAAATAAAAATGTCAGCTAAAGAAAAGAGTGGTTTATTGATGTAAACATTTATAATCAGAGAGTATATGGAGTGAAGAACGTATCTGCTTGAGAAACAGTGGAGAGAAAGTTAGTCAGATGACAAAAATGAATCCCAATAATATTAGAAATTCCAGGGCTTGAAATATCAGTTATGTTCCACTTTCTAATGAGTAAGGCTCTGTTCATTACCTGCCTTGATTTTGGCCTTTCCTTACAAGGCAACACACACTCATTTGTCAGGTGACCTTGCTACAAACAGAACTCTGTGATCTCCGCTTTGTCCCTTTCCATCCATTCTAGGTACATTAGTTCTCTTTTTTGCTCAATATTACAGTACCACCCATCACTTGTGCTTAAGAACAACTGTGGCCTGTTGTTTCCTATGGTTTCAATTGCATCTGCTTTCTCTGCTCCTTTGGGTCTATTCTGATTTGGATTTAGAGATCTGAAAAAGGTTTGTTTATTTCCTCTGTATGTTTCTGATATACAGGTTTCTGTATTAATGCCCACATTTTTGAAGACTCACAGGATGGTGGCATTCTGCAGCCCTGTCATTCTTTCCAGGCGCCTCTATGTTGGGTTTGGATTTCTAGTTCTATTTGGATTTTGTAGGTTGTTGTTGGGTATGTATTTCTCAGAAATTAAGTCAGAGCATGCCTTTTCTAGAGTAGTTGCACCAATAATGGGTATTATTTATGTGACCTTTGCTCGTAACTCTTTTGCAAGGGAATATGAATAGCATTGTGAACATAGTGTAAGATGTTAGTGCAGGATTTACTATATTGTTTGTCGGTACAGTTTTAATAATGTGATCTGCGCTGTTTCTACTTATGCATGTATTTTGTAAAATATTATCAATACAGTCAATGTATTGCAAAAACAAATACACTCAATGACCTGATGTCCATTAGTAATAAAAGGTGCTTAAATATATTTTATTATTTACAAACCTTACAGGTGCCTGATCTCATTAGGACTCCTATACTGTCCTGTTGATTCCTACACCAATACTTAACTGACATTCTTCCTCTCATACACATAGAGCTTGGGCAATGAAGAATTTCAGTTGCCCGGAGCTACTTTAGTTCTAAAACATTGTCTTTTTACTGCTGCAAATCCTATTACTAAATTCAATCAGACCTGAGTAATGAATCCCTAGTCAGTCCTTTGATCACAATCTGGCCACTTATAAATATTATGGGAAGATTTGGTGATAGAAGAAACAGGGAGAGGACTATAGTTACACAAATCCTTTCCTGATTTTTTTCAATCTATCACAATCATCATATTCTCTGCTGTGAGTATAAAATCTTTTTATAACATTTCTGACAGAAATTGTTTTGAGTGGTTGTGTAAACACAGCATCTTGTATTTTTGAATAGTGGGGAGCTAAGACTCTATTTTACTGAAATCTAGATCTAAGGTTTTCCCTCAACAAACCCCTACACTCAAGACTGAAATTTTAAAAAGCACCCTCTCAAACCATTGCAGTGCTTAGTTTCACATTAAACTGGAAATATGAGAAGAGGACTTTCAGAAGTTCTCTTACTGGAAGGTGAAGAAGAAAAACTGGTTTCTATTTGCAAAAAGGGAGGAAAATTTCAAACCCAAGTTCTGAAAACAATAGTATGCATATTGATATGAAGTTAGAAAACATTTTGTTGAAAGAAAATACTGATAGAAGCCGTTTTCTCCGAAGTAATTATTGTTTCTTGCTACTGCTAAAAAAAAATATGTTATAAGCAAACCCACCTCTTCAAACTGAAAAAGTTATGCTTAAATTTGAGAAGTTAGGATATAGAGTCATTTTTAAGAAATTGTCTATGGATTATTACTTTGTAAAGTACCTAACATTATGGATTACAATGATAAAGATTAAAAAGATTTGCAAATAGAAAGAATGCTGCAATAGGGGCCAGCAATCTTTTTGGCACTAGAATGTCATGCAAAATCTCTTTAAAATGGCGCAGAGAAAGAAAATGCCAATGGTTTTAATTTATGTCATGTTTTTCCTATTTCTTAATAAAACTATAGATATAAATGCCAGCTGGGACTAAGAATTTTGGAGACAATTATCAGAATCAGCTCTGGATGCAGGGACATTCATGGAATGAGGGGAAAGGTTCAAAAAAAGTCAAGAAGATGGCAGCATTGTGGCCATCATCTTGATTCTTGTTTTTACTCCCATTCTGGATGCTCTCGAACACTGTTTCTCAATCTCAGAGCCTTTAAGGCATGTGGACTTTAAGTCTCAGAATTCCCCAGCCAGCCATGCTGCACATCTCCAAGTTGCAAAGAAGCACCGCTCTAGGACTTGAGAAGCACCGCTCTAGGACTTGAGAAGCACCGCTCTAGGACTTTGTATATGTAGTAGCCATCCTACTATTCCTCAACCAGAAATCAACCACGTATTTGTTTAGGATTTCATTCTCTCTCCTCTGAGCTGAAAAAACAAACAAACTTTGCTGCACAATATAAACAAGTAAAAACAAAGAGAAACCTGAAAAGTGCCAAGTGCATTACTGGCCCCTTTTTGATGGAAGAATCATGGCAATTCTTATCTAGGATCAGATCAGATAAACAATAGCTGCGTGAAATTGGACTCTTCTTCAAAAAATAAAGTGTAATCTGTCTGATTTGTAAATCTATAATTTCTTTAAACATATTTGCTGGAAACAAATCAAGAAAAAAGAAAAACGAACTCTTACCTGAAAAATTCCGAGACACCAGCATAGTGGTAAGGATTGCACCCTAAAAATAGCAATACACATACATATATATTTATATAAAATACATAAAAAGTAACGAATGAATATTCTGGACACTATATCAGTGAATATATATGTTTATTATGATCTATCTATACCACAAAATAGAAAGATATGTCATGTAGCCACTAGTTGAACTTTCTTCTCTTCTCTTTCAAGGAAATACCTTTCTGGTTTGCATATTGTAGCCTCCCAAATGGGACTCTATATGTTGCATGTACCTCCTAGTTAGTAGGATGTGAATTACAATGTAGTGGTGTGACTATATGTGGGCAAACTGGGTTTTGGTTTTGGTGAAACCAAATATGCTAAAACTGGCTGTTACTGACTTTACCAAGAGCTGCTGACCCTGCATGAGCCACAGGTACCACCAAATTAATAACTTCTATGCTTTTCTATATTACTAATAGCAGTGGCCCATATCCATAGAACAATTTGGTGATCACCAGAGCACATAAGACTGCAACATGAAATGTAGGAGGAGTAAATAGTGAAGAGCATTACTTAATTAATGAAATTAAAGGAACAAAATAGATTATTCTGTGTCCATGAAACTAAGATGGGGGGAATGAATGTAATAGATTTAATAAAGGTTGTCTGATTTTGTGGTGTGCAGCTGATGAATACATACAAAGTACTGAAAGTTTAACCATGAATGAAAGGGATAAATGTATGTCAAAAGGTACGATGTATGTTATACTGGGTGCTGATAATAAAAGCACCAGATATGAATTTGATGAAAAACTGTGCAATATTCTGAACAAATGCAATCCAGGCATAAAAAAATACTCTTTCAGATAAAATGAATGGGTGCAAGAGAACAAAACAAAAGAAAATAAAAATTGTTTAGGCCATTCAGAGACTAAAAAGTGATTGAGAATTGTGTTGTTTTTCGTGAAAGGTTTCAGAAAACTGTCTGCTTGTTTCAAATATGTGACAGAACATAAATTTATTTATAAAGCCATATGGAAAAGGAATGCATGTCAATCTAAAACTATTATTGATGAAAGAGAAAAATAGTAATGGGCATAAGAATCAGTGACTCTGAATGTGGGACATTTCTTTGATAGTATCAGCAGTGGGAAAATGGATTTAGAAAAAAAAAAGAAAATGAAAGAAATGACAGTGAAAGAGCAATAATAAAAGTGGATGGATTAATTTCCTAATACTACATAGTGGATGTAAGGAAAGAAGATGCAGAAGCTCCTTTGAACAGTCAGATAGGGATGTTAAGAGTGGCATTGTGTGTGTGTTTGTGTGTGTGTGTGTGTGAGAGAGAGAGAGAGAGAGGGAGAGGGAGGGAGAGAGAGAGAGAGAATGCTTGAAGGAATGAGATTTACACGGGAAAGAGGTACAGACATATAAACAGAGAAATGTAAAATTATGGATTTGATATACATATTGGGTTACAATTTGAGTTATTTCGTGTTTGAGGGATGCATCTATGCCTAATGACTGAAAAAAATAGCATTATACTTATATAAAGGGAAAAGTAGTGAAAGTGAATGAAATAATTACAGAGGATTTATTATTAAACGTACCTGGATCAAAAACTAAATATAAGATAAATCTGAGAAGAATAATGAAACTTTCTGCTGGGCAGAGGGATTGTTTCCCAACAGGTGAGTGAAAAATGTACTTATGTGAGAAGGGAAGTTGATCAAGGAATATGACATTGATCTACTTGTTTAACGTGTATGTGTTAATGTGTCCATGTGTGTGTGTGTTCATTGATGGACTTTTACTGATTGAATGATAAGGCTTTATTATTTGCTAATAGATAAAAGGCGAGATGTGAGATAAAGAGATTTTTGGATGAGGTGTTAAATAAGGTCAAAATTTAAATTGGACTTGTAGTGTATTTTTCCATATATATATTCCTCCCTTCCTCCCACTTTTTCTCTTTACAACTTTTTCATTTTTTTCTTAGTTTGTATTAGTTTTTTATCTTTGTATTTTTAAGCTTCAATAAACATTATAAAAAGGGAACTGATCATACATTTGTTGATTTAGGGAAAGTATACATAAACTATATTGACTTGAATTAATGAAAGAGTGTGGTGCTTAATAGAAGTGCATCTACATGGAGGGAAGCATGCAGTGGGGGTGCCTCAAGTGGGTTTTGTCTTGGGGTCAATGCTCTTCCACATCTTCATAAATGATCTAGATGAGGGGATAGAAGGTGAACTCATCAAATTTTTATCTTGACAGGTGTTAGGCCCTATTCAACAAGATGCAGTTCAGTGGTAAGAAAAACAAGGCTCTGCACTTAGGCAGGAAAACCTAAATATAGGTGTAGAATAGGCAGCACCTGGCTCAACAGTAGTAACTGTGAGAGGGATCTAGGTGTTATAGTGGGCCACCAATGAAGTATGAGCCAGCCGTGTGCTGCACCTGCTAAAAAACCCAATGCAGTCCTAGGTTGCATCAACAGAGGGATAGCATCAAGATCACAAGCAGTGATAGTACCACTCTATACTGCAACAGTGAGGCCTTACTTGTTTTGGCCTGGTTCTGGTCACTATGATACAAAAAAAGATGCCAAAACCCTAGAAAATGTGCAGAGAAGAGAACAAAGATGATAAGGGGTCTAGAGGCTAAACTGTAAGATGAACATTAAGGGCATGTCTAGCCTATCAAAGAGAAGGATTAGAGCGCTATAATAGCTGTCTCTCAGTACTTGAGGAGCTGTCATAGGGAAGAAGGGGTTTACTTATTTTCCAAAGCACCTGAAGTCAGGACAAGAAATAATGAATGGAAGCTCATGAAAGAGTTTCAACCTAGGTACAACCTACAACAACAGAGAAATTTCTTGACAGTGAGAACAAAGAAGGAATGGAACAGCCTTTTGCCTCCTGGAGTTGTGGATACTCAATCAACTGGAGGTTTTCAAGAACAAACTGGACACCATTTACTCTTGCGCAGGAGATTAGGCTAGAAGACCTCCAAGGTCCCTTCCAGAGCTACAATTCTATGTAAATGCAGTGGCAGAGATGTCTTGACTGAGAACATGAATGTATACAGATGATGCCAAATTGCTCACCAAGAATAAGGTAAACAAACTGGTAAATATTAAACTGTATGATGCAACATGGGGATACACATCCAAAAATTAATATTGCAGACCCAGATATTATTTTTTCTCTTTTAGCAGGGAAAACAGAGCAAGCAATTACAAGTTTTAAATACATGGTGAAAAACTAAAGAATAGAGGTGAAATTCTGTATCTTACCAATTGGTGCAAAGGATGGTAGAAAGGTATTGAGCAATGTGTGGTTTATTGGAAGGAAAGAATGTTAATTGAAGTCTGTAAAGCATTCTTCTGCTCACTTTGCTATTTGAGAGTAGAAGCGGCAATATTAGAAGAAGCAAAAAGCTGAGCCATACGGAGTGGAATGAGGGCTTCAGGATTGCAGGTGATGGAACAGGAAGAATGGGTGCCGAGTACGAAGCTCGGTGCATAAAAGAAGGAATTACAGTATGTAGAAGTGGGCGGGTGCTGTAGAGAAAATGAATGAGGGCTGAACTCACAACAAACATATGAAGGAAAGGTAAATTGATGGAGGGGAATGCTCAGCCACCAGGTACAAGAAAAAGTTTAGATCCCAGGCATGTAGACGTATGCATGTGTGTGTGCACGCGCACACACATTATGCTTATACATCTGTCCGAATTGATTTTAGGCGCAGTAATTAAAATGTATATTGCCAACTTCGATAATCACAAAACGTGGACTCGTAAGTCACCGTCCCTTTTAAGACTATACCTTCAGCTTTCTTCTGGCATTGAACTTTCTCAAGCATTCCACAGTCTCCTGTCTGTGCATCATAGAAGCTACCGTTGATCGTTGCTGGAAAAAAGCAAGAAGAAAGATGGCATTTAGATCACTATCTCAGTTTACTTAATAACTAGATTTCTATTCTGCTATTCCTCCAAGCGTTCAAGATAGCTTATACGTCAATCTTTCTTCATGTTATTCTGCTGCATGCAATTGGCCCATATTCAGTGTTTCCATCAAGGAAGAGAGGCTTGGACTTATGTCCAGTGCTGGGATTCACAGTCAGGTCACACCAGTTCGGGAGAACCGGCTGTTCACTTTCTGAGCAGTTTGGTGAACCAGTTCTTGGAAGAAATCATTAGGGCAGAAAAACGGTTGTTACATTTTTTGAATCCCACCACTGCTTATTTCCCCCCAGTCTGAATCCAACCACTTAACCACTGGCTCTCAGTCTCAATCTCTCCCCCTCTACATGCCATCCTTGTACTGGTTCTTCCATTTCAACTTTAACCTGGTTGGTTCCCATTTCCAAGCTTCTTAAATTATTGTGAGAAGGAAAGCTATAGATACTTACACAGACCCATGGGTGCTTGAGTGCCTGATCTGCTGTGATGCGCTTTGCAGGGTTTATCGTCAGCATCTGGTTGATTAAATTCTTTGCTTCTGGGGTCACAGTATCCCACTCTGGAGAAGGAAACTAAGAGGAGAGATAACAGAAGCTGTGGGTTTTTTTAAAACCAGTTTATACATTCCTGCAGTTGCTTCTGCTTTTATTCCATACTGAATCAGTATAAGTGAGTGGCCTTTCAGGGACTCACATTATGGATCAAAGCAGAAAAATATAGGTGATGCAGTATGGATGTGAGTTGTAGACTACAAACTATTTGGAGTGTTAAGATTGCTGAATTTAGGGGACAGTTAAATGGGAACATTAGCTGATTCCTAGTATCTCATCCAGCTAACAAGAATAGGAAATGGTTCTCTTCAAAAGAATGTTCGGTCACTAAAAGATGTTAATACTTCAGAAATTACTGAACTAGTATTATTCAGATAAAACAAACCCCATTTTTATGAATGAGTAACTTCTGACACTGTCCTTCTTCCTTATCTCCTATGTCCAACAATGTATTTTGCAGTATGATGCATCAAAACCAGACAATTAACTGCAGAGAATAACATATAAAGAATTATCTCACATCATAGGCCCCCGCCTTGATCTGCTGATACAGTTTATGCTGATCTTCATCCCAAAATGGAGGATATCCAACAAGTAATATATACAGAATAACTCCTAGGAGAGAATAAAAAAAAATTACAGTTACCCTGAAAGGCAAATGTACCCTTGAGTCAATCCATGGGGACTGGTCACCTTTTATGCTGCTGTCCATTGTCACAAGGTAATCTATCTTCTATGTTCAAGACTTATTCCAACTTCTGTGGAGGAACATACATTTCCCTCTCTGTCATACCATCATCTCTCAAGTTACTATAAATATTTCTACATGGAAAAATCTGAGAATTCTAGCAGCATCCTTAGCCATCAAGTACTGTATGTTAATATATTTATTTGAAGTCTTCCATGGGACTGAATGCCAGGACCTGAGAGAGACAATATCTTTGCTCTCAGCAGTGGCGGAGTCTTTCATAAGACACTAAGCCAGACAAATTCATTTTAATCACATTTCAAAATGTTCAATTTAACCACTTTATTAATATTAGAGACCTTCAAACCAGCAAACTTAATTTGACACCTGGTGACTATTACCTTCTTCTTTAGATTTAAGAAATGTTATTGTATGTTTAATATATGATTGGCAAAAAGCAAAAAATACCTTGATTTAAGAAAGTTTTAAATGAATTTGGAGACCAGAGAGATTTGGAATGTTGGTTATTTTTGTTGGAAGGTTTGAAAAAAAAACAAGTATGTAATTAAATAATATACTTGTGGGAAATGACTGAAACAACAAACCCCATATTAGGAACTGAGGTTAATGAAGATTGAACAGGGAACTAAAGGATCAGGCAGAAAAAAGTTAAAATGGCTATAACTGTTTCTTATTTTAATTTTTTTTGAAACCTGGACTGAATATGAATAACAAATGTATTAAAAAGGATACAGATTTTAATGAACAAACTTTTACAGGATGAGAAAAATATGTTGAAAAAGCTTTTACTTGACTTAGACATTAGAGAATCTGAAGGCAGGGGAATCAACAAAATTGAGATTACCAAAATGGAATTACAAAAGGCAAATCAAGAAAAGTATCTGGAGTGGAACAGCTGCAACAGGAAATGCTGGACAATGCCTCTTTATGGGATTTACAGAATAGGCTGGTAAAAGCTTTAAAGACTTATTCTAAATGCCAAAAGGTGATCAAAGATCAAATCCTTCATACCTTAATACTGAATTAATACCATAAGGTCAAGCTTGGGCAGAGCAAAAAGGAGTATTTGACCAGGAATGAACTATTTGCTGGATACTTCTGGTAACTCTTCATGGAGAGTTCAGTTTTTACTGACTAGGTTTGAAAAGTTGGTGATTTCTGGATTGTGTATAGATACAAAATTAACTTATGGGAAAAAGAGGTTTTTTTAATTTATAACTTTAAAAGAGGGTGAAAAGTTAGTATACTACATTAGGTTTGGTGTGATGAAGGTTAAAGGCCACCTTTGTTGCCGTTTTCCTTTTTTCTTTTACATTTTTGTCTTTCTTTCCTGCACTTTTTGAACTTTTATTACTCTTTCTTCTATTCTAAAACAGCTTACTCCCTGAGGTGAGATTAACTTCCACTCTCCTGGCCCTTCTCCAAGAGCCTGAAGACCTGACTCTGCCAGTTGGCCTGGGCCTCCAATTTGGGGAGGGGGGATTTTTATCATGCTGGAGGTAGTCGATCAACTAACAGCAGCTCCCAACTCCCCTCCACCCTACATTCTGGTCATTCCCTCCACATCTTCTGGTTTCAGTTAGAACCTGTATTTTATTATGATTTAATTGTGATTTTACACATTTGTATATATATTGATATAAATACATATTTATATTTGTATATATATATTTATATTGTAAGCTGCCCAGAGTCGCCTTTCAGCAAACAAATTTAGTAAATAAACAAACAAACAGTTTAGCCTATACTGGTCTTTACTATGTTTATTAGAAAAACTTGATAAATTATTTTTAAAAATTAATAAGTCCTGCTCCATGTGTGCAAATGACCACCCCAGCAAGTTGATAAAACATTTTATTGTGAACAAAATGAAATGTAAACATAGGAAATATAGCAAAGTTAGACTTTTTCTGATCTGTTCCGTTAAGATAATGGATGACTAAGGACATTTTTAATTGCTTGCTCATTTGCTCCACTCAGCAGACTTTATAAAAATTACATACTTTCTAAGTGGAAGTCTGAACAGGTTGTATGTAACAAAGCATCAAAAGTGCATTAATAAATTGAAGCCAGGTTTATTACTCTAGCAAGCAGAGAACAATGTTCCCATTATTCACCCGGTAAATGTTCTGTTTTTTTACAATGAAGTATCCCAATGAGAAGTTTAAAAGCACCATTCATCTCAGACTTGAATGAACAGACTGAACTGGACCATTTCCATTCTAAATCAGTTTAGGGAAAAATGGACAACAAATCAGTCTTTTTTCACCCCAACTAATACAAGTTTTTCTTCCAAACTTCTGATGAAGAGAGTTAAAGGTCTAAATACTCTTAGAGCTTAATGGAACAGCAGATAATTGCAGGCTATATAAAGAAAAAGTACTAAGTTACAAAAGTGCTGTTCCACTAGTTCCCTGGGAATTTTCATGGGCCAATTTTCTGTTAAAAGAAGAAAAACAGATAAAAATGTCTGAAAATTGAGACGCCTAATTTAATAATTAAAATGCTAAAATAAAAGAGAGCTCTGCAAAATATATTGTGATCGAAAGAAAAGTTGGATTACCCTGAGAGCTTTGCAGCCAATTATTGGTTAAAAGAAATGGATGTGTTGAATCTTTAAAAGACAGAGCAGGCTCATTTCACAATCCCTACATCCAGACTTCCCTTTCACTGTAAGATCTGTCAGTCCAGATTCTTCATTTCCATCAGACAGGACAGAATGCATCAAGGTTCTATGTCACATAGGTTCTACGTGCATCAAGGTTCTATGTCACATAGGTCTGTTTTCAGGAAACTAATGACTTTCCAAATAATTATTATTATTATGACTTTCCAAATAATGAGGATGACCTCATGTGTCGGTGATGTAGCTGTAAGCACTGGGCCAACCTTGGTTTCTAAAGAATAGATAGCAGCTGGATTAAGAGTATAGAGCTGCTGTTTCAATTTAATTGAGGAACATTACAGTCACAGGTTCATAGACTATTCTCAATCTCTGGAAACTGTCAGACACCTTTATGCAACTTGCTCCCACTTTAAAGCAAATATATCCCACAACCCAAACAACTATGATTAAAAGTTAGAGGCTCTTACCACATGCCCATATATCCACTGGCTTTCCATAAGGATCTTTTCTTAAGACCTCAGGAGACAGGTAACCTGGAGTGCCTGCGAACCCTGTCAAAGTACAGCGCAGCACTTCAGAATAAAGCTACTACTTTCACAGATTACTAGAAAATAAGCTTTCTGACATGGAGTGCGAGGGACGTGTGAGAGTACCACCTCATGGAAAAACTTCCCAGACGAGGCAATCTTGGACCAAGTTAGCACAGGGTGTCAATCAAACCAATTTCCCTCCCACTCCAGCCATAGGGAAGATAATCATAGAATGCCACAATTGATTCAGCTTCAATTTGCAGACGAAATCTAATGCTGTAGCCAAATGTTAGTAATATTTTAATCTTACTTAAATATTGTATTTATATCCTGTGTTTCCTCTGGAACATATCTGGGGGCTCCTTTATTTTATTTGCTTTTCATTCTTATATTTACAGGACTTATAGCCCACTCCAACTACCCAACTTTGAGCAATATATACCTGTCCAATACATATTTGATACAATGCAATGTAATGCAATGCAAATTAAGCTTTTAGCTTAGTGGAGTGGCCAAGTTTTCACTAATTTTCTGAAGGCCAGGAAGGAGGGATCAGTTCAAAAGTTGGAGGTGTGAAGGTGGTGAAATGAGATGATGACCGAGAAGCCAGGCACTCATAGTCCTTGAAATCTCTGGACAGTCTGATCAGCAGGGCATGTAAAGATCCAATCCTACTAAATTTTATTAGGCAGGCAGATGTTATTGGCAGAAGGCAGTCTTGCAGATACACAGGTCTTGAAATACCTAACACTTTCAAGGTGACAACCAGCACCTTCAACTGCACCCAGAAGTCAACTATCAGCCAGTCTAGAGTAGATGTATTACATGGGTCTGAATGTTCCTTGAAGGCAGCCCATCACCCAGACTCCTCCACAGACTGCACTTGAGGAAATCAGCGCCAATTCTGCACCCACCATCTCAATCAAGTTTCATCCATTATCTCACCAGACAATCAAGGGCCCCTCGCTCTAAAATCTTCCAATCAACTCCCATCCAGCCCCATTCTCACCAGGAACTATCAGAATGAATTCAGCCATTCCCCCTCCACCCTTCCCAAAAATCACATTTCCAGTGTCCCCTCTTCCTCCTCAAACTGCAGCAACTTTGTTACATCTTGGAGTATCCAACTTAGTTCTACCATGCAAAGCTTTCAAGGTGGGGTTCTTGGAGGAGGGCATGGTTACATCTCCCCATTGAAGGAAGCAGGAAACTGCATGGGAGTGTGCTTCTCATTGACTGAGCCTATGGCAATCCCAGCAAATATGTCCAGATGCAGCAAAAAATCTTTACCTGGTATCCACTGTCAAAGATCTTCTCCTGGGCCAGACACTGCCCAAAGCAGCGAAGGGAGGATCTGCAATATGAGGTGCTCCTTGGCATTTGGAAAAGGGCTTCAGCTCTCACAGATATGCCCGCTGCAGCAGCCACAGGCTTCAGGCCCTGCAAGTCTGTCCATCTCACTTTCTAATATTGTATTATTGCCTTTATTTCAGGCTTGTCTCAATGAAAAAACTAACAGAATGAAAGCTGGGGAATCTCATGCTCCAGAATTTGGCATATTAAACCAAGGATGAAGAAAAGTCCCTGCGACAGAGTTGAGTGAAATGAAGCAAGGGCCGCAATATGTAAGCGAGCAAACAAAATGGAGCTTGGGCTGTATCATACATGCAAAGAGAACGATCCCCATTTTGGAGGAGAATTGGGAGCTGTTCTTTAAGTGGCAAGTTGCAACCCTTATTTATTTAAAGAAGAAACTTAATTTGATGAAGCATAAACACTTCTGAAACACTTACCAAACCACGCCTGCTGTTCTCCTTGTACTTCAATTGCAAGTCCGAAGTCAGCCAGTTTGACAGCAGCCCCTTTGCACTTACTGGCAAGGAGCAAGTTCTCAGGCTAAGTAAGAGAATCCAGAGAGACGAGACAAGAGAAAGACCTCAAGTGAATATTTCTATCTTAAAACCATTGCCCTCTTTTTAAAGTTCACTGCATCACAAATCTATCCTTCTTTTAAAAATCCAGATTCTTACCTGCATCATTAACAAACTTTGGGTGGTGGCAATGGAAAGGATGGACTAAAATTCACAACAACGCACTGCAGCTTGTCAAACTCTTTCCCAGACAAGCATTTCTTATGCGCCAATGCGAACAGTAGATGGCACCAATTCTGCATGGCCGTCAGATTTCCCTGTGACTATTGGAAGGCACTATTGGGAGTAATTCTGAAGGAAGCAGAACAAGCTGCAGCAAGACGAACTCTTCATAAAGTTCCCAGGCTACATACATACATTCATTTAACTGCACAGAAACTTCAGTTACATTTGCTGCATGGAAATTCCAATTACGTTCCAAGAAAAACTAAAATTATTCCAAGTACGCATTGGAATAATGCATCCTTCTAATTGTGTGGTGGAACAACCAAATTCATCTCCTCATAACCTCCCAGGTCTACCTGGCACAGCATTAAGGCCCAAGAAATTATCTTTCATACGTTTATTATATTTGTACTCTATTATGCCTAACCTAAAACCCTTGTTTTATGCTGGCACACATAAACAGTTCTAATGCTGGCTGCTGAACAGGGAGATCAAGCTGAAAAACAACGCAACCAACTTCAGTTTTTAAATTCTGCTGATTCCATGTTAGTTCTGTTGACAGGAGAGGTGCTATTCAGCAGGTTCTGACCAGTTCTGGAGAACCGGTAGCAGAAATTTTGAGTAGTTCAGAGAACTGGCAAATACTACCTCTGACTGGAGATTTTACAGTATCTTTCCTCTGCCACACCCACCAAGCCACACCCACAGAACCATTAATGAAAAAATTTGAATCCCACTACAGCTTTCGTTAATACGGTGGCGATTTTGCTCTCCCCATTCTTCTCTTCTAAGTTAAGAGTCCCCTCCTTTTGCTCCCAGAATAACCCTCTGCAGATATCAGAAGAATTGGAAGTAGAAGTCTAAAAAAAGTACTGCCACAGAGAATTTTACTTCCAAAGCATGGACTTTGTAGCATAAATGCATGTTGAGAACAAGCAGATGAAGATGTCAGCCATCTACAAGGCCTTGCATCCAGTCCCTTATTTGCACCATGCAAACCAGTAGTTCTACATCTACAAAGTTAATCAGATCACGTGTTAAACTTGCTTGTTTTCTTGCAGATATTTCATTACTTGGCTAGGTAATATCTTTAGTGCTAGAAGGGAATATTTGAGTCGGGTAGCTACATAAATTTGTTTAATAAATACTTAAATAAAAATAATTAGGCCATGTTGTGTTGTACAGTTGCTATGGATTCTGTTGCTAGTTCTGAATCTATAGATGTAAAGAGTATTGTAACATTGAATTAAACCATAATCTCATCGTCCAAGCTGTTTTGTAAGTTCTTTGATTACATTGTGTGTTGGGGGTCCTGGTAATGATACAATTGGACAAAGAGATGTGTTGGGCTTGTGCATTTTGGTGGTCCATAAAAGTGTGGGAGAGTAGGTCTCTTGCTTTTCATCTGCCACTATTCTTCTTTTGTGATTTGATCTCCCTTGGTTAGAGCGTTAAGAATACTCTTGATCAGGCTGTCTAGTTTCTCTATTGAGTTGGTATTTACTAGGGTGTAGGTTTTGCTGTCTGCCAATAATTGTTTGGTTTTTTGCATGTATTGACATATGTCCATAATAACTATGGTTTGCTTTGTCTGCTGGGAGAATGATAATGCTTTAGTCCATCTTTAGGTTTTGCTCTGTCTTCTGGTTTCCACTGTTTTTCTAGAACAGATGTTAAACTGATAGGTCTTTAATTTCCTGGATCTCCCTGTGAAGTCTTCTGAACAATTGGAATTAAGATGATACCTTCTAGTCTTCAACTACAAAGGCTGGATGTACAGACTGGCTGCATATTTTAGTTAGAAAGTCCACAATCTTAACTTTAAACTCCTTATAATAATACTTGGATGGGTGAATGCCATCAGAGCAAAATGATTTGTTTGTCAGTAAGACCTAGGATGTGGCAGTTTATAATCTGAACTGAGTCCAGGCAAGATTATCTGAAGCCAGGTAGAATTGGTTCAGCAAAAGCACAGGATAAGAATATTTTTAAGAATAAGTGTGGCTACGTCCTGAAGCTCAGAATAAATGGTACAGCCAAGTGCTGTGTTCCAAATAGAGTAGCTCTGTCATCATTGGCATGGAGATCCCAATAAAACAAACTAGAAAAAGAAGTAATCCTCCTGCAATTCCAGCTAAGGCAGTATTTACTGAAGGAAGGATCATTCTTGAGAACACTTCTGGCTGGAATCTATTACGCTGGCTGACTAATTTATCAAAGGATTAAACAAACAACTTTTCTCTAAGTAGTGCACCTAGCCAACTCCCTCCAAGTCAATATTTTAATACAAGGCAATGAAGGAATTCCAAGGTTGTATGTAAACAATAGGGGGAAAAAACAAATCCTGTCCTGGAAAAGGCAATCTCATAAGTTCTCAAACTTTTTTACTACCATGCAGGATTCATCTCCGCTAAAGGAACCCTTTGAGTCATGGAATGAAAAGGTTTGATGGGATCTGAAGTATCTATAATCCAATCCTTTGCTCAGCACAGGCATCCATGAGTATGGCCTACTCGACAAATGGCCATCTAGTTTCTACTGAAATATCTCCAACAAAAAAAGCTTTACTGGCTCCAAGGCTGTCTGTTCTATGGTTGGATAGTTGAATAGGATTTCTTTTTTCTCGATGGCAATATAAATCTGTGGTTTCTTGATCTGTGTTCTAGAACAACTCTGACACTCTTCAGATACTTGAACAGAGCTACGGTGTTCCCTGAAGACTAAAAATGCCCCATGCCTTCAAACCTCTACATCCCTTAGTTATATTCTTTTGACTACCTACAATCTGTCAATGCATTGGTGTCCAAAACTGGGTGCAATGCTCCTGGTATGTTTGGCCAACACAAAATATAGAAAGGAATTATGTCTTATCCTGAACATGGCATTCTATTTCTGCTAAAGCAACTATGATTGCATCAAGCAATAGCAACAGCATCAAGTCAATTGTTTTGAATTGCAGGGAACAAAAGAGATAGTGGTGACCCTTCTGATTTATGAGATTTCCATTCTATTGTAAAACCATGGGTAATAAATGAATAACTAATAATACCAAGCACCCTCTTTCTCTTATGGTGCATCTGTATTTGTTCCTCCTTCTCTTCACTTGGTTGAGGCAGAAATTAGCAGCACCAGCCCAGATGCAAAGTTTCAAACAGCTTCCTTGTAGCAGCTGGCCTTCTTCAAGCTGGTGATTAAGGGAGACAACCTGCTTGGGTTACATAGCTCATGCTGGCTCCTTGGTGCAGGGGCTTTTCAGTTACACTCATGGACACCACTGCTGTCCAGTAGTAAACTGTAAGCAGCTTGTGCGCAGCATCAGCAACCAGTGACACAATCAAGAAGTCTCTCTACTTGATCACAAAAGAGCTGCAAGGACCAGTGTGCACCGTATGGCAGAAGCAGGGGGGTTTCCTCTCTCAGGAAGTTGCTCCAAAAAAGGTGGCCAGGTCCTGCAAGGACGCCATATGGTGCCTCATGAACAAGCTCACCTAGTGAGGAGGAGGATACAGGCATCAAATACGATGCATGACCCCATTTTTAAAAGAAATATATATTACAAATGCACAAAAGCCCTTCTGTCATTTTGTCATATATACAGTAATAAAAAACTGAAAACAGATAAAGAACTTTATGAGTATTTTGAAGCCTGCTCTCTAGTGATCAAACACGCCAATGTGAAATTCCTGTTAGCAGGGGCCACTGGCCCTTCCATAAGTATTAGTTTCCCCATCAAAGCATAAAAGTATCTTAACAAACCTGTTTAGGAAACCTTGGCTGCACCATGGAGCTACCATAATGTTGCAATAAGTTTGGACAGTATTTTAACTGATTCTGCAGCATTTCTGGATCCATTTTTCCCTCCAACTGGTGTCCACTGTAAGGCAATTGGGTTTTCATCCCAGATCTCTTATCAAGATATATCTTTATCTAATTTTAAAATCCTTTGAATTATTGCGCTACATGAACAGTTAGACCCATATCATATCTTACCTGCATAATTTTCCTTACGCGCAAGGAAAATATGCTCTAACATGTATTTCTTTAAAAATTAGAATGAGAACTGACTGGCAAACCTTTTTCCCTCCACGGAGCTGGGGTGGGCATGGCCTGCCTGTGATGCATCCGGCCCGCCGGCCGTCAGTTTGACACCCCTGCTCTAAATGGTAGTTATGATCTGCTACGAGCAGAAAGCTTACTCTTCATCTCCCTCAACTACAGAACAATATCAATTGGAGACACGAATGTTTTTGTGAATTGTGTAGCATTTGAAGGGACCAGGATATTAAATTAAATGGAAGATTATTAAGCCAAAGACTGTAGCAGAGAAGCATACCAATTTTATACTGCCCTCGGTCCACCTGTGCAACTACCTTGATTTCATTTAACTGTAGCCTCCAGGCAAGGCTACTTTGCACTGGAGCCATGTATTACCTTTAAATCCCTATGTACAATATCATGTTGATGAATATGATTGACACTCTCCAAAATCTGATGAATGCAGTGGCTGCAAAACAAACAAACAAAGCAGAGAAGAAACATGATTTATTTATTTATTTATTTATTGAATTATATAAATATTTTTCTAGTAAGAGTCCCACAGCAAAATATGCTTTTAATCAAGAACTGCAGATTAAAGTTTTAACAATACATAAAATATCGCAAGCAAATATGAGCTATTACTGACAATGCCGGCTTTCTGCATTGTTCTATGAAGAAAATATAACTCACAGCACTTTCTGCAGTACAGCCCTATGCACTGAGAAGTGCTTGGAAGCCATCCTAGCCCAACCTTGACCCAGAAACCTCCTTCCCTGATCGAGGTTATCTTGAAAGAGATTTTGCAAGAGTCCCTGAAATCTGCCACACAAGAAGCCAAGTCCATTAGCCTGTATTTACTATAACCTCTTTGCTAGCCTGGCTGAAACTGAAGATTCTCTCACTTCCTTCATGTTGGGAAGCTGCCAGTGGGAAGTTTAAGTAGCAGTGCACAGAAGGACATTACAAGCATATCTGCACAAAAGGGCTGGAGTCTTTGAAAGGTGCCGCCTGCTTAACTTGCATTTTTACTTCTTCCCTTGTTCCAGCTTTTAAGCTCCACGTTTTCCAGCAAAACAAAAATTTCTCTCTGTCCCTCTCCCTTTGAATGAGTGGTGTAACTTGTCATGAACACGTATTGTATTAGATCAACATTACACCCATACAGTGCCTGCACAAAGCACCACAGACAAAACCTGCAAATGTTTGTTAAGCTAATTTCCAGGCACTTATAATAAAAGTAACAAAACCGGTGGCAGAAGCAGTTTATTGCAAAGAAGGAAGTAACTAATTTTGCACTGTAACAGTTCTCATGGCATAAACCAGGGACATTTACCTGGTTTATGCCTCTCCATGGCAATAGTGACCCTGCCATGGGGTGAGTCCCATATTAATTGACTCTTAGGAGTTTTGAAGTCATAGCCATCACCATTTAAGTGCTTTTGAAAGGGAGTTGGGCACAATTGTTCACATTTTATAATAAATGATATAACTCAATAAATACAACAGAGAAGCTAACTGAGCATTCCTAGAAAGTACCATTGGATGTAAACTACCCAGATGGAGATGTGGCAACCAACTTGCACAATAAGAACCATTTGCCTTAAGTGGAGGCGTAGCTGCTTGCTCTGGGAAACAGCAAGGCGCCTCAACACATTCCCAGGAGGTCCAGGCCAAAGGCGCTGGCAGGGTGAACTACTCTGGCAGGCTCTGAAGCAGGGTGGAGAGCAAGAATCAGACCCACGCTGTATAACTAGAACAGAACCAAATACTTAGGAAGGCCTTTCGGGCCCAAAATGGCACAAGCAAGTGAACACCGCTCTCCCTTCCTTGCAAGTGGCTCTCTGCAGCAACGGGCCAGCAAACAATGACAAGGGAAAAGCAGCAAAGTCAAGATTCAGCTATAGATGTGATCTTCTAGATATACATGTCCTTCCAAAGGTAAACCAGACAGCAATTTCTAGCTAGGCTACCCTGCAGGAACCATACAAGAGCCTTGTGACACCTATTTTATAACGGATATTCTAAATATTTGTAGATTATGTCTATATCAAATGCATGATATAATAAGAGAAATTATTATATATTTATACAGCCATTATATACAGAGGAAAAAATAAGTATTTACTTACATAGAATAACTGCATTGGATATGACCTAAGCTTACTTTGCACTTACAAATTACAAAGGATGGTGGAGAGAAAGATTATATCATTCTCCTTTATAGAAAAGCCACTTATAAAATACCACACAAGACATAGTAAAAATATATGTCATGATTAGATTGTACTTATGACAAAAGCAACAGATTAAAAATAAAGATTGTCTTTACTGTTGAGCTGCTCCTAACCAAACAGTGGCAATGCAGTTTTGGTATTGCAATTTTTAAAAAAGAGAAAGTGTAGGTAGAGTGAGTGTCCTTGTGAAACTGAGGTGCTATCTAGAGGACATAAAGAGAACCAGGGTTCAACTTTGTTCCACTTATCCAAGGTGTACCCAGTAAGCTGCTCTAAGGTTCCAGAGGAGAAGCAAGGCTTGATGAATCTTCAACAAAACCTATCTGCAGTCAATATCAACAACAATGCACTTAAATGCAAGTTACAGGGATTTACTGTTCTGTTCAGTAAGGTGGTTGAGCCCACCCTGCTTTGTAACAGGGAACTAGCTAACTAGCTTTTTTTAAAAAAAAACCACAAATTCAGCAACACAAGCAATTTAAGGGCAATTTTATTACCCTACATCTTAAAGTACTTGAACACCAAGTAATACAGTCAAGATAAGTAGAGCAAAGACTACCTAGCCACATATTCATTTGTTAAAAGCTACCGTGATAAAACAGATTTTATAATATTTTATTGTTCTCCCTATATTTATATAATCTGGCCTAAGAATAATTTATTGTGGCAACTAATGTTTAAAATGGCTATAAACTATTCAAGTATTATGCCTAAATTGTATGAACACTTTCAGTAAAATTTTGTCAAGAACTGATATTTAGCAGATGTCCAAATTGCCGCCATGTTGACCAAGTTGGGGCAGGACTGACATTAGGATATCGGCCATAAATCAATTAAAACAAAATAAAAGTAAGAAACCCATACTAACCAGCATGAACTTACCTAGCATCGGCTTCACTGTAGTACTCCCTGGCAACAATATCTTCAAATAGCTCCCCCCCAGTCACCCTAGAATCAAACATAATCCATGAAATTAAGAAGTCGGATAAAGACTTTGATGAAGCAGATGTCAAACACTAACACTCAACAGCAAATGGAAAGAGAAGCTCCCTCCTCCACTTCTTAAATAATTTTTAAGAGGTTTAATTCCAAAGCAAGAGATAATTAAAGACTAATAATCCTCAATCATGTCTGTTCAGCACCCAATAGCTAACCCTAAGCTTTTTCCTATACCTGTAGCAAGGCCAAGTGCAGGAGCTGAATTGTGCACTGCAGAATGAAATGATGGCAATAAAACTACGGCCTGCAGTCTAGACTACAAATAACCATGGAGTTGTACTACTTCTAATTTAGCCCAAGCGTTATAAATTTACTGGAAAGAAACCAATAGAAACCATGCCTCAGCAGAAGCAATTCTGCTGACTGAACAGGAGGAAGTCTATTCTCTATTTATTTTTTATTTTTTTTTGGGGGGGGGGCTGTCTATCAGCCAATACCCAATAACTGCACACAAGAAAGTAATCTGAAATAACTTCATTATTTACAAGTTGGTCTTAACTCTGTCTTAATTAGCAAATCCTGACAAAAAGACATTTTCTTCTGCAGGATTTAGGGCCATAATACTGTTTGTTTGCTTAAGTTGAAATGGCATGGCATGGCATAGACTAGACTAGACTAGAATAGGAATTCTTTATTGGCCAAGTGTGATTGGACACACAAGAAATTTGTCTTGGTGCAAATGCTCTCAGTGTACATAAAAGAAAAGATACATTCGTCAAGAATCATCAGGTTCAACACTTAATAATAGTCATAGGGCACAAATAAACAATCAAATCGTACTAGGAAACAGTCAATATAAATTGTAAGGATAGAAGTGACAAAGTTACAGTCCTACAGTCACAAGTGGGAGGGGATGGGCGATAAGGAGTGATGAGCAGATTAACAGTAACAGTAGTGCAGACTTTTGTAAATAGTTGAACAGTGCTGAGGGAATTATTTGTTTAGCAGAGTGATGGCGTTCAGGAAAAAACTCCCCTTGTGTCTAGTTGTTCTGGTGTGCAGGGCTCCATAGCGTCGTTTTGAGGGAAGGAGTTGAAACAGTTTGTGTCCGGGATGTGAGGGGTCCGTAAATATTTTCACAGCCCCCTTTTTGACTCGTGCAGTACACAGGTCCTCGATTGAAGGCAGGTTGATAGTAATTATTTTTTTCTGCAGTTTACATGCAATTACATGCAGATACTGTTACTAAGGATGGGAAAGGGAGAGAGGCAGGGAGAAATGTTTCCAAGTCTTACATACTTTTCAATGACCAAAGATAAAAAATAAATAAAGCAGACTTACAGATCAAATACAAGGTAATGGAAACCTTCTTCTGAAATACTCTCATGGAGCCGCACTGCAAAGAAAGACGAAGACTATGAGGAAGAAGACAACGTTTACACTTTTCAGAAGTACGTCAACTTTAACAGGAAAAAAGCTTGCAGCACCTTTAAACCAATATTTTCCCTCCTTTCGAACTAATTACTTTTCTAAATTCCCAGGCTTAACGTTGTAACTGAAATACTATTAAAATATTTACTGTGACAAAATAGCAAACCCTGTTATGCATACAGGCTCGCGGTGATTCCTAAAGCAATGGGGCAGCATCACCTCGCAGCGGGAGAATGAGCCTGAGACAAGGCGGTTAGACACCTAAGACAACACGGATCAATACAGGACTGAAGTGAATTGGGGCGTCCTCATTCAGACCTAGAGGACAAGTACTTTGGAATTAAGAATAAGGAGGTAAATCATGGAGAGTGAGATGAGAACTGGATGCAAAGCTTCTTTTTTCCTTGCTGCTATTTTCCAAAAGTCAAACCTGCTGTTTCATTCAACCCCACCTCCATAGCACAAACAGCATTGCTACGGGAAATTTAGATCAGGAAAAAGGTACTGTAGATTTAAAGGCATTTAAATTTCACTCCTCAATACTACAGCTCTTATTTAGCCATGGACACAGACAAACACAAACACACATACACACGCTTATGATTATTGTCTTTTTAAATGGTAAAATACAAAAAGCTACAGCATCATCAAAATAAGTAGACTGTGCTAGTCAGTGAAGGAAGAATACCTAAATGAAGAAAACAGAAAAAGATCCATATACTGTAAGTACCAATGATACAAAATCACTTCAACTACATATTTTATCAAATAAATCGTAAGAACTCCAGGGAGTCCTCAACTTAGTTGGTTGCTTAGCGACCTATGATATAACAGCTCCCCCGCAAAGGTAGTTAAGGTCTGGTTTTAAAGTTACAGCCATTGAAGTGCCCGGTCATTGTTCAGGATGCTGCAATGGCCACCTCACCTTTTCCCCTCACCCAAGCCTTGGCCTGTTCCAAAGCCGGCCATTCAGACAGGCTTCATATCTTTCAGAGTCTGATTATTATGAGACTGATTATAATCCTGACGTATATTGTTGCTGCTTTAGAAGTAATAGCGCTGTGTAGCTGTCAATCCTACGAAGTAGACCAGACTAAGAACAAATGTCACGTAGGTCCACTCCCCATCATCCAGTCAGAGCTGGAGAACCTTCTTGGATGAGAAGTGAAACATCTTCAAAGAAAAACCAGAAAGTCCAGTTGCCTCTTGAAAGGGGAAAAAAATCACTTTTGGGACAACCATGACCTGGATGACTGAGAATCTCCATAGATATTTAAGTAAGGAACAACTCACTTCAATTAAATGGATTGACACTCCCTCAACTTCAGGTGGCGTAAAAACAATTAACTGTTAACGATATTAATGTATTACAAGTATTTTAAAAATGCTATTTTGAAAACTATTTATATGCATACAAATGCAATGGTTGAAATAGGATATATCTTTTCAGTTGAACCCTGTTTTTTAATACATGGTATTTTTGCACTCATTTTCCATCTATTCATAAAAAATTAAGCACTTGAAAAGTTCATGCAAAACTTTTCAAGAATTAATCTCTAACTACAGTATGTAATTATAAGATCAGCATACAACCTTGGAGTGGTAGACTGCCAGGTGCATTGGTACACCGCAAGCTAAAAGCAACAAGGGTCATAAAAAGTGGGCTTTCCCCAATTTAACGATTATAGATTAATCTTGACTTTTAAAAAGTTGTTTCTATAAGGATCTGCAGTTCAGTGTCAAGTATGAATCAACTTTTCCTCCTTAAAATAAAATTTTATTCCAAAAGAATAAACAGAAGAGATTCTATAGGGCCTTGCCAAAGAGAGTAAGTGGACTGCATAATAATTGCAATCTATATAATGATGCATATTGAAATTGGAACTAGCTGTGATAATTCCTGAAAAATCTTGAGTTCAGCTGGACATCCTAGTAAAAAAAATCAGCTCAGTTAGATGTTACCAAGTCAGGTCTAACCTCAATGATTATATAGACAAATTCCTATCATTTTGATATTTCCTCAGTGAGAACCTGTACAGGTTCCAAGGACATTCCAGCAACCATTTTAATTCTATCCATTCACTTTATCTTCCTATTCTTTTATTTCTCTCAATCTCCCAATAACCATTCTTTCTGTTTTTCTCTCATCCCAAGGTCACGGTTCTGATTACTGAGCATTATCTCAATGAATTAATATGTCTTTATTTGTCCAGTACTGATCAGTAATTATCCACAGGCATATTATTTGCCTATTTGTTTTTATTAACTCTTATTTATCACATTACTAAGCTACCCCACTCCAAATTATTTCAAAGAATTAAAAATAATAGTTGCATCATACAACCAAAGCATCCACAAACTAGCACTATTAAAGGGACAAAGCTATTAATCAATATCCTTAACAACACAAGGGTCCTGTCCACCTCTTTCAACCCTGATTACTGTTGAATAATGTCAATGCCAACAACGTTCATGTGGAGCTCCAGTGATTTTGGGATTAGACCCAAGGCACCTCTTACTGTTTGTCTTTCCTTTCTTTTGCCACAGTCCTTCTAGTTCTATTTGTAGTGCTTTTGTGATGTTCTATTTTATTCTGCTGTGTCTAGATATTGCAACGTTCACTGTCCAGATTTTGTTATCTATTATTATTAATAATGTTCATTAAACATGAAACTCAGTCAACAGAACATTTAAAAATGTATCACTATTACTACTACTACTACTACTACTACTACTACTATTATTATTATTATTATTATTATTATTATTATTATTATTATTATTATTATTATTTGCACAGTCAGCCAGATGTTCAGACTGGATTTGGCATTTTTGTCTACCTATCGAGTCCTTAGCAAGGACCCGGGATAGGCAGATCTCGATGTTTGATGATGTTACAGATTAGTGTTGCAGGATGGAAGCTGTTCCTAGTAAAGCCATCTTTTGCAATTGACTAATGGTGAATTTTGTCAATGCCAATGATGTTCAAGTGATACTCTAGTTGTTTTAGGATTGCACCCAAAATGCCTATTATCATTGGTACTACCCTTGCTTACTTTTGCCACAGTCGTTCTATTTCTATTCATATGTCTTTGAATTTTGTGGTCTTCTCCAATTCTTTCTCTTCTATTCTGGTGTCTCCAGGCACTGCCACATCCACTATCCAGACTTTTTTGTCTTTCTTATTGAGAATTGTTAGATCCCGGGATGTGACAGATTCTGTCTAAAGTTCCAGAGCAATTTAATTTCTTTATCATTATTATTATTGATCATTGCACGGTCAGCCAGATGTTCAGACTGGATTTGGCATTCTTGTCTACTTATTGGATCCTTACTAAGGAGCTGGGTAGGCAGATCTAGGTGTTTGATGGTGTTACAGATAACATTGCAGGATGAAAGCTATCCCCAGTAAAGCCGCCTGTTGCAATTGAAATTGTTGTTATTTTTGTTGTTGTTCTCAAGGTTTACTTTCTGCCTTTCTTTGATTATCACAATATAGTATTTTGAAAGTCACTTGGATCTTTACCTCTCTGGAATTTTTCCCCGTTAATGTTTCACAATGATTTTATCTTTTGCTATGTTCCTTAGCTTCTCTTTCACATCTATTCTACAAACAGATCCTATGTTCTGACAACATGACTTCCAGGTCAAATATACTCTCTTCAATTTTTAAGATTTAGCTACTATATTTTGACAGCAATTATTATTTTCTATCCTACAAACTACATCTAGAAGTAGACTGGTTAACTGGATTGCAGACCCTTTTTAATTTCTTATGTACTCAGTTGGATTGTGGTGTCATCCAGACAATCGAGTCTGTATTTATGTTTTTGAAACAAGTATTAGCAATGAATAAGCAATTATCTTTGCAACACTCTACTAATCTATCCCTTGCATTATTTACCAAGTTCACATCTTCCTGTAATTTCAGGTTCTTCCATTAGTTCAAGTTCTACATTCCAATCACCCATTAGTAATATATCCTTTTTAGATGGAGCATTTGGCATGATTTGAATTTCCCAATGACTTTCATACTGAATCTGTAGTACAGATATACTCTGAATCTGTAGTACAGGTATACTCTATACACTCACACAAAGTTAATGTTTACTGGATATCCACTAATTCTCCTAGATATGAGCATATCATTTATTGGACTACAGACAATCACATACTTAGCACAGTTCTTTCTGAGTATCGTTGCCACTCTGTGCCTTCATGTGCCTCATGTTGTTAATAAATGTATTGTGTAATCTTATAAATTAAGTGGCTAATTCTGATCCACTTAAATTCATTTATTCCTAAAGCTTCCAATTTGATATGTATTATTTCCTTTTTGATAATTTCTGCAGCATTTATTTTTTAAAAATAGAATATTTTATGCCTGAGATTAAAAATCTGAAATTGGAAAATTATCTTGCTCATTTATTTTTAAAAATAATTATGTGCTTGGAATTCTGTATTTATAGTTGGAAAATTTGTACAGAAAAACCTCAAAGCATCAAGAAATTTTAGTACACCTTTACAACAGGGCTGCCAAACTTGCGGCCTGTAGGCTGGATGCGTCATGCACTGGCCACACCCATGCCTGGTTTAGCAAAGGGGGAAAAGTTGTGATATGTCACGTGACAATGCCATTGTCAGCCTTCAAGATTTTCTCCCTTTGCTTTGCATCTTTCGGCTGTCATAAGTAACTGGGGGAGGAGGGGGGAATGGTTATGGGAAGTGAGCTGGAGTTTTTACAAACCAGAACTGTATAAACTGGGGGGGGGGGTACATTCCTGCTTAGGTTTCTATCCTATTCCTTTAAAAATGCTCCCTTTGTTTATGTGTTGACTACAGAAACTTGAACACTATTTCAGTGGAGAACGTGTACCCCCTCCCCTTGATGAAAGACATGTTGGCCCACTTGGCCAAAGGGAAAATTTTTACAAGACTCGACTTGAGAGAAGCATACTACCGGGT